GCTTTCAGCAAGCAAGGGTGTCTCATCTGTTGTATCACAGGTTGTTAATGAGACTTCCTCCAATCCTGATGCCCTGTTCTTCTTCATACAGTCCAGCTGCTCGGATTATTTTCTCAGCATATACAGTAAGTAAGTATGGTGAAAGGATACAACCCTGACGCACACCTTTCCTGATTTTAAACCACATAGTATCCCCTTGTTCTATTCGAACGACTGCCTCTTGGTCTATGTAGAGGTTCCACATGAACACAACCACTAATGCCTAGATTTTAAAAAAAGTCCTGCATAAGACAGTCTTATATGCTAACTTTAAATGTTTTCCACTTTATGGAAGTCCTAGACAGAGCAGTTAAGACAAGGAAGAGAAATAAAAGGTATTCAGATCGGAAAGGAAGAAATAAAACTCTCTCTCTTTGTAGATAACATGATCCTATACATAGCTGACCCTAAAGATTCCACAAGAAAACAGAATAATTTTAGCAATGTTGCAGGGTACAAGACCAACACACAAAAATCGGTTGGGTTCCTTTTACACTAACAAAGACTACGAAAAAAATCAAGAAAACAATACCATTTACAATAGCCCCCAAATCGATAAAATACCTAGAAAATAACCTAACCAGGTACATAAAAGCCTTCTACAATGAAAATTATAAAACACTACTAAAAGAGACTAAAATAGACCTTCAGAAATGGAAAAGACATCCTGTGCTCATGGATTGGAAGACTTAATATAGTGAAAATGCCAATTCTACCTAAAGCAATCTATAGATACGATGCAATCCCGATACAAATCCCAAAAACGTTCTTTACTGAAATGGAAAAACTAATGACCAACTTCATATGGAAAGGAAAGAAACCCCGAATAGCCAAAACAATATTGAAGAAACAGAACAAAGCAGGAGGCCTCACACTCCGTGATACCAACACATACTATACAGCCACTGTGATCAAAACAGCCTGGTACTGGTTCAGCGATACTCACACAGACCAGTGCAATAGAACTGAGAACTCAGAACTAAACCCAAACATCTATGGACAACTGATTTCTGACAAGGGGTCAAAGTCCATTCGGTGGGGCAGAAACAGAATCTTTAATAAACAAGGCTTGCAAAACTGGATATTCCCCTACAGAAAATGAAACAGGACCCATGCCTCACACCATACACAAAACTAACTCAAAATGGATCAAAGACCTAAATGTTAAACCTAGAACCGTAAAACGCTTAGAAGACAACATAGAGAGAAAACTATGGAACCTAATCTTTTGTAAAAATAGGATAACAAACATTATAACAAGTGCATGAATAGAAGATAACAGAAACAGATAAACAGGGCCTCATAAAAACTAAAAACCTATGCTCATCAAAAGACTTTATTGAAAGAGTAAACAGACAACCCACAGACTGGGGAAAAATGTTCAGAAGTGACTTAACCGATAAAGATCTAATCTCTAAAATCTACAGAAAACTGCGACAGCTCAACTACAAAAAAGACCAACAACCCAATCACAAAAGGGGCGAAGGACATGAACAGACCTTCACCAATGAGGACATCCAAGCAGCCAACAAACATAGGAAAAGATGTTCACCATCATTAGCCATTACCCTGTTGCCATCGAGTTGATGCCAACTCATAGTGACCCTGTAGGACAAAGTAGAACTGCTCCATTAGGTTTCCAAGGAGCAGCTGGTGGATGCTGACCTTTTAGTTAGCAGCTGAGCTCTTAACCACTGCACCACCTGGGCTCCATTCGTTAGCCGAGAGATGCAAATCAAGACTACAATGAGACACCATCTTACCCTGGCTTTACAATGGCACTGATAAACAGATAACAAATGTTGACAAGGATGTGGGGAGATTGGAACTCTTATCCATTGCTGGTGGGACTGTAAAATGGCCCAACCACTTTGGAAAACGGTATGGTGCTTCCTTTAAAAACTAGAAAATAGAACTACCCTGTGATCCAGCAATTCCACTCCTAGGTATATACCCTAAACTAAACAGAACCAAACCCGCTGCTGCTGAGTCGATTCTGACTCATAGCGACCCTACGCAACAGAACTGCTCCACTGGGTTTCCAAGGAGCGGCTGGTGGATTCGAACTGCTGACCTTTTGGTTAGCAGCCGTAGCTCGCTGTAGCTCTTAACCACTGCGCCACCAGGACTCCCATGGTATATACCCTAGAGATCTAAAAATAATGACAGGAACAGACATGCACACCTATGTTCACTGCTGCTTTATTCACAAGAGCAGAAAAATGGAAACAACCTAAGTGCTCACAGACAGCTGAACGGATAAGCAGAACATACAACGGGATACGATGCAGCCATAAAAAACAATGGCGAGTACAAGAAACACATACTGTAACACGGATGGATCTGGAGGGCATAATGCTAAGTGAAAGAAGCATATAAGTATCATATGCTCCCTCTTTTACAAGAAGACAAGAACAGATGCATGTACAGAGGGCAGGGTTCACTGGTGGCTACCAGCGACAGGGACAGGGGAGAGCACACTTCAGGCTGTAGACACTTGTTATTTTCGGTGATGGGAAAGGGGCAGTGAATGCAGTTGCGGGGAGCACAGCACAGTTGTAAAAACGGTCTGAGCACGCACGGGTGGGCACAGACACCATTGAAGAGACCGCTGTCAAACGGTGATAACCCTAACTGACGTCAGTGAACCATTTGTGTGGAGACTGTCAAATGGGAATCTAACCTGCTGTGTAAACCTTCACTAAAAGCTCAACGAAAAAAAAGTTTTCCAGTTTATCTTGCTTGGTTCTTAAAAAAAAAAAAAAAGTCCATTTGCCATTACTCAAGTAGGCACTTAACATGTTTAAAGCACCTTCAGCATCCCTTTGGGGTCTCACCGTACGGTCAGAAACTGAGACACCGCAGGGAAAGGGCCATCTGAAGTCTCGCAGTTAAGCATGCCGTGGGATCTATTCCTCGACCCAGATTTCTGGAATCCTGACTCAGGCTGTTTCCTCCAAACAGTTGATGTGGTGTCTGATTCACACAGCCTAAACTAGGAGCCCTGGTGGCACAGTGGTTAAGAGCTCAGCTGCTAACCTAAAGGTCGGCAGTTGGAATCCACCAGCTGCTCCTTGGAAACCCTATGGGGCAGTTCTACTCTGTCCTGTGGCCTCACTAGGAGTTGGAATCGATTCAGTGGCGATGGGTTTTGTTTTGTTTTTTTGAAAACCTAAACTGGTTCTGGTTCTCAGGGAAGGGTGAAGTTTGAAGGCCTGTGGGGAAGAACATGAACGTACGCATGAGACACTTATCTCCTAGATGAGCCCCCTTCTGAGGTGCTGGCAACTCTGCCCAGATTTTAGTTCTCAGAAGACACTACTCAGAAGGCCTGCTTCCACTCTTTGATCCAATCAGCATTTGGTTTTCTGTCATTTTCTTGACAACTTTATTCAGCAAAGAATCCCCCAAATGATTTCAACAGAGCCACACGTGTTCTTGCTCTATGGGGGTGTGTGTGTGTATGTCCACATCCTATACTACAGATACTATACTAGCCATTTAGAACATCCCCTGGGCCTCCTCTCTTCCTTTCTACCTGTATTTTAACCACCATCTGCAGGTAAATAACAGGAGCACTGTCAGTGGCTGAGGCTGGGGGCTCTGCTCCCTTCCCAGCTCCCTCAGGTGTGAACACAGTATGCTGATTCCTGCCTTTGCCTCCTGGCTAACTGCAGTCACGGAGTCCCCAGACTGCTGGCGTCACCTGATGAGCTGAGTCAGATGTCTGCACAGTCATCACTTCCAGTGACCTAAACTCTGGCTGTTGCCCAGCCTCAAAAAGGACACGGCCGAGCAGGAATGTACATGATGACTGGCAGGGGCTTCGAGGGGGCCGGGGGCGGAGGAGGGGATGGAGTTGTCTCCCCCGGCCCCACACTTTCTGGTAGTCCAGGGAAGTCGGAAATGCATCTGGCCCACAGCCAGCAGACTGCGCCTGTAACAGAGCAGGGGCTGCATGGACGTCTTCATCATGGCCGCCCCTCTCCGGGCCCAATCCTGCCAAAGACACAGAGAGGTGAAGGGCTCAGTCTGAGAGCGAGCTCACCTGCAGGAAAGCAGCTGTGGTGTAGCAATGCTAAGACCGGGCACGGGGAGAGGGCCCTGCTGTTCTCCGTTGTTACTTCTACTGTTAGGGACAGATGAGGGCACCACTCACGCAGCAAAGCAGGAGGCCGCGCCAGCCGAAGCGCAGACTTCAGACTAAGTAGTCATCTGCAAGGGTATCATCACCAGACAGAGAGGCAGCTTCTAGTGACAGAAGTGAGGAGAGGGAGACATCATCCCGCTGGCGCAGGCACCGCCAGTGATTCCCAGGGGAAAATGGCGAGCAACCGGGCCGTAACCTCCCTAGTGTGGAGAGACTGAGAGATGGTAACCTCCAAAGACCGTCAAGGGGAGGAAATGCTGCTTGTACCTGATGAGCTGAGGCAGGACAGGGTGTGTCCTGTCTCTCCAGGGCTCCTCTTGGTCTCGGTGAGCCTGCTGCCTAGAGAGACGTCTGTTTCTGTGGCCTGAGGGGGTGGAAATACGAGGGAAGAATGTTGCTGGCTGGTAGGAGAGGCCACCCTGGCATTTTACCACAGGAACTGGGTTAGGCAGTAGAGTATGGCTGCTGAGAGGGACACACGCCCCCTCTGGCCACTTCGTGGAGGATTCTGGAGCCCTCAGGAAACCGCGCTATCAAATGTCATGTCTAGAGGCCCTCAAGCCTGTCAGTGTGCCAGGTTTCCCCAAAGAAGCACCCTAAATGACTAAAGGGCTTGCTCACCACTCCCTGCAGTGTGTCGGGGACAGCCGCGTTTCCTTCCATGTCTTCGGGAAGCTCTACTGCAAATCCTTTGCGAACTAGTTCTAACCCAATATCAAGTTTCTGAGGAAAAAAAAGAAAATGATGTTGTTTCGGCAAGGAAGAACAAATCTGAGGAAATAGGGCAGGGGAGCCAGGACTGATAAAGACACCCCGTGGGTAGGACAGTGGGCGAGGCAGGAGTGGGATCAGAGTTTCCGGGAAAGAAAAAGTGAACGAGGCCATTAGTGCACAGAACTGAAGAGATGATGAAGAGCGTGTGAACCCCGGTCTTACCTTCCCATCGCTAATATCATACAAGTAGATCTCTGGCCAAGTTGAGATCCCAGTGTGGACATAGCTAGAGATCTTGGCCACCAGTGGTTTCCAGTCAGCACAGTGAGTGAGTCTGTCAAACTCATCCAAAGCCTCCTCTTCCCATTGCTCACCTAGCAAAGATGGGAGTGGGGGGCCCAAGGAAGAGTCAGTGCTGAGAGAGCTGGGAATTATACCCTGGGGGGAAAGTGGAAGGCAAGTTTCCGGCTGCTGCTTCCTAGTGCTGATAAAGAAAAGGCACCTGCGTCCCCAGAACTCCAAACTCCCGGGCATGTGAGAACTCCTCGCAGACGCTGCCTGAAAGCTACTCTCCCCACGTCATTAGGCCTTGCGGCCAACTCACCTGAGGGGGCGATCCGTGCCAGACTACACTCTATCGCTTGAAACGGAAGGCTTAGGAAGTCACTCCTGAAGGGAAAGAAGAAACCGAAATTAGAAACCCAGAGCCAGCAGAGCCTTCTTACATGCCCTGCTTTGAACAGAACCAACTATGCCGGCGTGACAGGATGATCACCCGGGCTGTCTGGGAGCGGGTTCTCTTCCGAACCGCCCTGGGGACGTGCCAAGGGCTCAGCAGCCCGTGGCCAGGTGGGCGTCCAGGCCGACGCTCACCTGAGAGCTCTGAGGTCCTCCAAGGGGGAATCCCCATTGTCTCCAAAGTCCACAAAGTAGAGGTCCAAGTTCCCATTCTCCAAGGTGCCAAGCACTCGGGCTCGGTACCAGGACCCATTCGCGGGTAAAGGTGCTGCCACAATGTCTCCCACCTGCACAGCCAGGTCTTCAGGCTACATGTGGGGGTGAGGAGCCGGGGGGAAGGTTAGGAGTGGGCGGGGTAATAAATAGAAAAACAACAAGTGCCAGAAGGAAGGATGAGCAACTATCCCACAGGAAAAGGAAGAGGCCATGTCACACAATAAAAACACTGCTCCCCCTTTTCACCAAGCCCCAGCCCTGGCCCCGTGGCGGCTCACTGGACTGTGCTCGTAGTGCTGGGTCATCTCGCTGATGAGCTTATCCAGCTGCAGGCTGCGGGAGCCGATGATCTGGATCCAGAAGTGGTTAGGGTGCTCAGAGGCCGAGACGTAGACTTCCAGGTACTCATCAGCATGGAAACTGAAGTCGGGGCTGGGGACTGAGCACAAGGAACGGACGAGGGCCGTGTCAGAACCGTCTCTGGCTAGGATGAGGAGACCGGACAGGGGGGTGCAGGGGTACAAATACCATGTGGCTGTTACCACTTAACAACAGCTGGAGGGACAGCTGGATGAATCACACAAGACCACCACCTTAAAGAACAGTACTAAGCTACCTTCTGTACCTGTCTATGTGACTGAGGACAACAGTTCACGTTCTTGGTCCGGTGCCATGTATTCAAGCCAGTCACCATCTCTGATGGTGGGCAGCCCTGTGTGGGTTAGCTGCAGCATGGATCAGTGGGGAGAGACTTCATGGGGGCACAACAGACACGGGCCTATTCCAGGCCCTGTCCTACCGCCGACCCCTAACTGACCCTGGACAAGTCTGTGAGCCTCCGGGGCCCTTCTGTTTCCTGCCCATCCCAGCGCTGATGAACAGCAGAGCAAGCTCACGGCCTTTTCGTTCCTCTGGAATAGTGAAGATTTGTAAAAACAGAAGGTGAAAAATCAGGCTGAGTACTTTAGCTTATTTAATAAAGGCCTGGAGACACCGTGTCAATTCGATTATCTGCCGTCTTACTCACAGCCTAGGTCCCCCGTGCCATTCTCCGTTCTTGTTAGCTCGTTCATGCTCAGGAACTATCACTTATGTTCAGAGGTACTAAGTCAAGTGAAACATCATCAGAAAAGCAGATGACAGAGTGCAGTCATGAAAATAGAAATTATAAATTTTTTTTTTTTAAAAAAGAAGGAAAATAGAAACAATTTTTTTATTACTTCCTATTTAGGGCCATAAGGAGCCCTGGTGACGCAATGGTTAAGCACTTGGCTGCTAACCGATAGGTCAGCAGTGCAAATCCACCAGCCGCTCCATGGGAGAAAGCTGTGGCAGCCTGCTTCTGTAAAGATTACAGCCTCGGGAATCCGATGGGGCAGTTCTGCTCTGTCTTACAGGGTCGCCATGAGTCAGAATCAACTTGAGGGCAATGGGTTTGGTTTCTGTTTGTCTGAAGCCAGTATTTCCATCTTTCATATGACTACCAAGTTCCCTCTTGGTTACCTACTTTCAAACATGGACATCTCTGGACTGGCCTGGGCTGCAGACTCCTCCTCAAAGCCGTCACCGTTAGCTTTCGCCCCGGAACCGTCTTCCGGCGGTAGCCCTATGGCAGCCATGTCACCACCTCCTCTGTGGGGAGGAACGACCAGCGGCACAGCCTGCTCTGTGCCACAAGTGGCGTTCTCCCATAAAGCTGGGTCTCCACCTCCATGGGGCTCCGTCACGTCCTCTCTCCTTACGCTGATCTGCTGCTTGCGTGGGACCCTGGTTTCTGCAGAATGAGCGATTCTCTTCCGAAGTTCTTCATCTTCTGACACTTTCTCCAGGATCAAATGCTGTGGAAACAAAAGGGATGCTATCTACCTGGTCAGGGCAGGGTCAAGGGTCCAACTTCATCAGCTACTTGCCTTGGCTGTTGTCACTTCCTTCTGTGTTCCTGAGATTTTTATAAGTCTTGAGAGTAGTAACGTCCCCTCTGATTCTTTGTCACAGGTAATTTTGGCTCCAGAGGCCTTACAGATAGAACGGATCGTTTCACCACCTCTCCCTGCATTGAACAACACATTAAAAACCTTTCCTTTTCTCCCCATCAGCCTACTAGAGAAAACGCCGTTTCGTATATACTGGGAGAAGGGAGTCAGTTCTCATAACCCAACTGAACAAAATGTTAGATGCTGAATGGAAACCAGGGGCTACTGAAATCCTTCCCGTAGGAAGCAGAATCCTAGATTATTTGCTTTTTCCATCTTATTTCAATTCAACCCTTTGGCTAGTTAACTTCTTTATGCCATTTCCATTTTTCAAAGTCAGCAAGGTCAAAGTTCACATTGTTGGCTCATAAAAAGACGTGCTACATGGTGTGTCAGAACACTGGGCCAAGGACAGGACATTTCTCTGCCTCTAACGGCAGTGCTAAGGAATGTTCTAGGGGGAAGCCTAAGAGGCACTCTCTACAGCACCATCTTGAACGATTAAGATGCTAAAACATGGGCATCCGTAGCTTCCCTTTAAAATTCTATCTGGAGGTAAATATATTTACCTCAACCCATCTGAAACCTATTTTTATGTTTCAGATCTTCTCAAAGAAATGGGTTTTAGTTTACTAGGGGTTCTGTTAAAAAATCAAGGTCTGGTCTCAATATCCCCATCTTCTTTTCTCAGCAAGGTGAAGGGGAAGTAGGGCAGGAAAAGCTCCTGAGAAGGCGGGAAAAGACGGGAAAGGAACGAAGGAAAGGGGAGAGGAAGCCGGCCAGCGGTACCTATGATTCTGCCCACAGATCTCTGGGGGACTGAGAGCTGCTCAGACACGGCGGCGTTCTCTGTCAGGATCTGATGGATCGCGGCTTTGGCCTTGCACACCTGAACAGGAAAACCACTGATGAGCAGCACCCGCTCATCACCGACATCCTCTGTGTCCACATCAATCCGCGCACCTGTCTGCTTCCGCAGCTGCAGACAAAAGGAAACATGGCAGCATGTTCTGGAAGGCTTCCTACTCCGGCCCAGCTACAGACACTCTCAGCCAGTCCCTGGGGGTAGACAGAGTTGGCCACAGGTACCAGCTAAATCAGGATGCTAAAATCAGTCCTCACTGTCTAGTACTTAGGGAACGGGCTTAGTGACCAAGCTAACCCCACATGGCAGTTAATTCAAAATGGTTTCTCTTTATGTTTAGGACTGCTCTTCTCATTTTATTCAGGTTAGAGAACCAAATATGTTGTTTTCTTGACATTCCAACTGAACATGGAAGATGGTAAGAAGAACCATACAGAAAATTGTTCAGTATTTACTGTCACTTCATGAGAGCTCATTAATTCCATAGAAGAAAGGAATGGCTCAAGTTGTATCAAGCTGAGAATCACCCATTTAAAAGCCCTATTTCAACCTAAGTCATTTATACTCTAGGGAGAGGTAGCATAGTTCGCTAAAAAGTTCCTGTGCTTTTTCTCTGTGAAATACTGTGGATGTGTTTTGTGGAGGTAGGGGCAGAGGACGGAAGATGAGAAATCGATACATAAAGTCAACCTCTGGGAAAGCCAGCTGCCTCTTCACACACCTACCTGTTTAACGTTGGCTCCTTGCCGGCCAATGATCAACTTCACAGCCTCCTGAGGAACCCGCATCTCCACCTCGATGTCATCCTCCCCAACAAACGTCAGCCGCTCTTCTGCACGGATCATGGCGCATCAGAGCAGACGCAGATAACGTCCAAAGGTCCTCCCAGCCCTCCCCCAGATCTGGCTGTCAAAGAGACCCTGAACCAAGAGATAAATGGAGGATCTCCACCATAATGAAAGAAGTAGCATCTCAGTGGGAATTAGAAGGCCCTGAAAGTCCAGGAGATCGGTGTTCCCTCTAGATGCTGTCTAGGATGGTATAATGGGGAAGGCATTCAGGCTCTACAAGAAAGAGGTGCTGGGCTGTGGGCAAACTACTCTTCCGCAGACACAATGCCTGGAAAGGAATGAAGGTCAGAAGTTGCCTGGGGAGTCCAGAAGGCTCAGAGCTTCTTCTGAATGATCTGAACATAAATCATTTAACCCTCTAGGTCCAGCCTACAGGGAAACTGCCTTCCCCTAACAACTGAATAGGGACAAGGAGCATATGAAAAAGAATACATATATACGTAAAAAGAACCCATTGCAATGCTGATATTGCTATAGGGAACAAAAACAATGGAATTATAAAAAGAGTTCTTCATAGGTTCCAGTCAAAGGTTCCTCAGAAAGTCAATCACATCCCAACAAACACTGCGACGTCTGACAAGGGAAGCGTTTTCATCTCAGTTCACCAAGGCCAAACATCTCCACGTGCACAGCCCCGGAGTTCACGTACCTCTGCTTTCCCTATACCTGCGGTACAGGATGTAGACAACTGTCACACTGGCTGGGATCCCCAGGCCCAGCGCTATTTTCTGCATAGCGGACAGGTTTGTCCAAGAAGTCCGTTCAGTGGACATTTTCTGCTGCACTGACTCACATCCTAAAACACACAAACGAGAAAAGCAGCATTCATCAAACACTTGTGTGACGGGCAGAGAGGGCTGGGAACACATTATAATATCGACAAGACTACCATTGCCTACTTTCCCATTTCAAGAGCTTCAGCAGTATCAAAACCTATTTTATTTTTTTAAATAAATCTCTTATTGTGCTTTAAGTGAAAGTGCACAGAGCAAATCAGTTTCGCTTTAAACAATTAATATATATATTGTTTTCTGACACTTGGTTGCCAACCCCACGATGTGTCAACACTCTCCCCTCGGGTTCCCCATTTCCATTCATCCAGCTTTCCTGTCTCTTCCTACCTTCTCGTCTTTGCTTTTGGGCTGGTGTGCCCATTAGTCTCCTACAGATGATTGAACTACGAAGCACACTCCTCACGAGCGTTATCGTTGGCCCTACAGACCTGTTTAATCTTTGGCTGAAGGCTGAACATCTGGAGTGACTTCAGTACTGAGTTAAAAGCGTGTCCGGGGGCCACGGTGTCAGGATGTCCTCAGTCTCCATCAGACCAGCAAGCCTGGTCTTTTTTTGCGTGTGTGTGTGAATTTGAATTTTGTTCTACATTTTTCTTCCACTCTGTCCAGGACCCTCTTTTGGTCTCCAACAATACTTGTCCTTTTGTGATTGACTTATTTCACTCAGCATAATGCCCTCCAGATTCATCCATGTTGTGAGTTGTTTCGCAGATCCGTCGGTTTTTTTTATTGTTGAGTTAGTATTCTATTGCATGTATGTACCACAGTTTATCCATTCATCTGTCGATGGGCACTTAGTTTGTTTCCATCTTTTTGCTATTGTGAATAATGCTGCAATGAACATGGGTGTGCATATGTCTGTTCGTGTGACAGCTCTTATTTCTCTAGGATATACTTCTAAAAGTGGGATTGCTGGATTGTATGGTATTTCTATTTCTAGCTTTTTAAGGAAGTACCATATCGTTTCCCAAAATGGTTGTACCATTCTGCGTTTCCACCAGCATAAAAGAGTTCCAAGCTCCCCGCAGGCTCTCCAGTATTTGTTATTTTCTGTTTTTTTGATTCATGCCAGTATTGTCAGGGATGAGATTGTATCTCATTGTAGTTTTGATTTGCATTTCTCTAATGGCTAGTGATCGTGAACATTTCCTCATGTATCTGTTAGCTGCCTGAATGTCTTCTTTCGTGAAGTGTCTGTTCATATCCTTTGCCCATTTTTTAATTGGATTATTTGTCTTTTTGTTGTAGAGATGTTGGATTTTCCTATAGATTTTACAGATCAGACCTTTGCCAGATACGTCATAGCCAAAAAATTTTTTTTCCAGTCTGTAGGTTCTCTTTTAACTGTTTTGGTGAAGTCTTTTGATGAACGTTAAGTGTTTAATTTTTAGAAGATCCCAGTTATCTAGCTTATCTTCTAATGTTTGTGTACTGTTAACTATGGTTTGTATCCTACTTTTGCCATGAATTAGGACACCCAGCATTGACCCTATTTTTTCTTCCATGATCTTTACAGCTTTTGGTTTTATACTTAGGTCTTTGATCCATTTTAAATTAGTTTTTCTATATGGGTCCTGTTTCTTTTCTTTTCTTTTCTTTTTTTTTTTTTTTTACAGATGGACATCCAGTTTGCCAGCACCATTTGTTAAAATGACTGTCTTTTCCCCATTTAATGGACTTTGGGCCTTTGTCAAAGATCAGGTGACCATAGGTTGATAGATTTACCTCTGGGTTCTGGATTACAAAACCTATCTCATTTAAAAACCTGTAGGGTATTTTAAAAAAGTTAGCTGAGGGACGCACATATATACGATTAAATAGAAGCATACTTCACTTTTTTTCCCCAAGGAGAACTATAGATTGATCAGTTTTAAAAGACAAAGGAAAAAAATGTATTAAATGAATCAAATATTTAAAAAATATATACTTAGATCTCACATCAAACTATTTAAAATTCCTTGTCTATGCCCTTCCACGCCTCCAGGCCTTTCCAAAGGCTGTCATCTCGCATGGAATGCCATTCCAGGCTAGTAAAGACCTTGCTACTTACCATTCTTGGAAGTACAGTCTTTAGTTACTATCTCTACTTCTGATTTCTAGTTACTCCTCAACCAACAGTGAAAAGGGGTTCTGCCCTGCTTCTTCTCCAAAACTACAACTTCATAGATAATCAACTTAGAGGCCGAATGTGAAATCTCTCTCACCTCACACCTCTTTGCAGTGGCAGAAAGACAGCCACTCCCTCCACAAACAAACTCTCTCCTGGGTTTCTGTGCCCTCTGTCTCTTGGTTTCTCCCATTTCCCTGGAGGGTCCTTCTGAGTTTTGGGTGTGCCCTCCAGCCATTGCTATTTTGTCACTCTGCTCTCTTTGGGCAATTTCATCCACACCCATAGCTCCAATTCCTACCTATGTGGTAACACCTCCAACAACACTGCAACTAGCCAGATTCCAATGCTCATTACATCTCATTTCGGCACCACAAGAGCCTTCTTACCGGCTGTCCTATAGTAAGTCTCTCTCTGAAACCATTTTATCTTCATTTTACTATCAAGCAAATGTTAACATGTCCCTATTATTTCCTTATTCTATGTACTTTCTCACCCTCCTAGACAATTATTTCATACCTTCACTTCTCTTCTCAAACTTCTAGTGCCCCCTTCCTCATCCTCACTTCAACTGATGTCCTTGCTTCCTATTTCACTGAGAAAGTAGAGCATTCAGAGAGATTATCCACAAGCTCCCACATTTACCCACCTACCCCTATCCGTGCCTAATACTCTATCTTCTCTCCTGCGGCCAGCGACGAACTGGCTGTGCCCCTCGCACTGAAGTCTCTCACCAAAGTGTAGCTTCACCAGTTCCTCTTTCTTCTGCACCATGTTTTCCTCTTTATTGTATCTTTCTGTTGGCATAACACATGCTATTATTTCTCCCTTCTTCAAGAAAATCCTTTCTCAACCCTACTTACTCCTCCAACTACTTCCGATTTCTTTCCTTCCCTTTACAGGAAAACTCAAGACAGTGTCCACACTTCCATCTTCATTGTTCTTCTTGAATCCACTCTAACTGCTATTATTGTGAAGGTCACAGATGACCTCGCGTTGGTCAATTCTCAGTCCTCATCCTACTGGACCTTACGACAGCAGCTGGCCCAGCTGGTGACTCCCTGGTCTGTAAAACACTTTCTTCACTTGGCTTCCAGGACAGAGCACTCCCGTGGTTCTTCTCCTCCCTTTCGGTTGTGCTATCAGTCTAGCAGGAATCTCAAACTTAACAGGTGTAACACTGAGCTCCTGATCTCACCCCTCATCCTGGAGCCTTGCTATCTAGTAAATAGCAATTCCATTCCTTTAGTTGCTCAGACTAAAAATCTTAGAGCTATCCTCTCTCAGACTACACATCCAGCCCGTCAGCAAATCCTTTCAGCTTTTCCTTCAAATTATCCAGAATTTGACCACTTTTTAGCTCTCTACTGCAATGACCCTACTCTACACCACCATTATCTCTTGCCTAGATCATTGCAATTGCTTCCTAATTACCTCTCCGCATTTGCCATTGTCCCTTCAGTTTATTCTCGAAACAGCTGGAGTAAGTCAAACAACATTACTCATCTGCTCAAAACCTTCCATCTCATGATTAAAATCCAAAGTCATTAAAATGGTCTGGAAGGTCTTCATCTTGATTATTTCCCCATTAGAATATAAACTCCACAAGGGCAGGAATTTTTCTGTTTCGTTCCCAGTTATACCCCCAGTGGTCAGCACACACAGTAGTCCCTCAAATATTTGGTCAATAATCATTTGTTAAATGAATTTCCTCTTACTTCTTCTGCATATGTTTCCTAAATGTAAACTCCTTACTTAATCGCATGAACGTTTCTTATAATCTGATCTCTGCCTACTATCTTCACAGCCTCATTTTCTAATCCCACCTCTACTGGGAGAACAGATGTGCTCTCCTATGTATCCCTGCTGTGGCACGTGTCACTCTGTCTTGCTAGTCTTACTCCTTATCCCTAGTAAAATTCTACTCTTTCTTCAAGTCTCAGCTCTACCACTACCTCCTTTTCTCAGGTGTCTGGGATTTCCTCTAGTTGACTTAGGGTGTTCCTTCTCCTCCTTAGCTCACATTGCTCTGTGCATGTCTCCATTACAGAACTTCTTCACACTACAATGTAATTGTTCATCTGTTAGGTTTGTGTGCACCAGACCACTGGCTTCACCAATGCAGTTCAACCAACGTTTGTTGAGCACTTCCATCTGCGAGATGCTACCGTGGCACAAAGGATATGATGAAAGATGAATGTATCCAGTAGCTACTACACCAGGACCTTCACATACGTTATTTCATTCGATCTTCATACAAGCTAGGAAATATTAACCCCATTTCTACAGAGGAGTACACACGCTCAAAGAAGTTACCTAGCGGGGCTTTCCTCATCACAGGCCAGCAGCATCATGGTCTTGTGTCTCCAGGGCAACTGGGGTCTACCTCAAGATGATGACCGTCCCCCCACCCCCCCATCCAGAAAACACCAGAAATTCACTCTGTGGAGTTCAGTGTAACTGAGGAGATAGAGACAGTAGACAAAAGGATGATCACAACTGAGCAGTGAGGACTTGGAAAAGAAATATGGAACAAACATCATTATGGGTCTCCCCAGTGTAAGAGCTGCAGAGCTCCTGGCTCGGGAGAGGCCAACACCCCCAGCCCTTCCCAGGAGACCCTGGAGATTGTCGACTTCCCCAAACAGACGGTGAGGGGCTTCTCCATCCTCCTGCGGATTGGAGTCATCCTGAGCTGGCTCACACATGGGATTGAGTACAGGCATAGCTCCTTTTATTGCACTTCGCAGATATTGTGTGTGTTTTTTTTTACAAAATTGAAGGTTTGTGGCAACCCTATGTCGAGCAAGTCTATTGGCACCATTTTTCCAACAGCATGGGCTCACTTTGTGTCTGTGTCACATTTTGGTAATTCTCGCAATATTTCAAATTTTC